GGTATACTACACAGTGAATAGATATACCCGTATATTTTTCTGCCGAGCCCCTCCACGACATCAATAAGGCCGACACGGTACGTTGGAACGGAACATCAGTTTCTGTTCTCAGGGGATCCAGTTCCGGTTGTGCCTCATCTCAATACCCAGATGGCACCCGTATTGCTTCCTCTGAGAATCGACTGCGTACCGCATTCAGTCCCAAGTGAACAACTTGGCAGCTTGCCAAAAAGTTTTTGACACAAAAGAAATAGCATAGCGGAACGGGGAGAGGACAGGAACATTTTGAGGGACGATGGGGCATATGACGGGAAGGAGACTCAATGGTGCAAATGTTTACATCTAACTGTTATCATCGGTGGGCACATGGGACCAAAGAATGGGAAGGCTAGGAAATGCACCACAAAAGAGCAACATTGGACACTTTTTTCTAAAAGGGCAAAGGGAAAGAAACAAAGTTGAGAGGAGAGGATAGTTGGGAGAACAAACAGAACAGTCGGCGACGGTTAGGCGGGAGAAGGACAATCGAGTTGAAAAAGCACACGATTAAAAGTGTTGCCAGTTTGTCGGGAGAGACTTTTTACCGGGTTTGGGGAAAAGAGAGAGAGAGAGAGAGAGAGAGAGAGAGAGAGAGAGAGAGAGAACGAGTTGAACCAAAACAGTTTGTCTTGGTCAATGAATCAAAGAATGGAGGGTAGCGGGTTGAAAAATTGAAGGGTCTGGAGTGAACAAACTGTACATTTACAGTTTTTAGAAACCAGTCGACCAGTTCAGATGACTAACTAGTAGAACAAATTTTATGCCAACAGTTCTACAGTACCGGCCAATAAAATATACAGGAACTTGTTTTTCAGTTGATTTTTGTCCCATTTTAACCATTTTCAGTTGGCTGGAGCTCGGCTGTTAAGTTTCGGATTCCTTCGAAAACTTTGGAGGGTGTAAAACAGATCTGAATTGAAAACTTAGCATTCGCAGCATTTGAAACAAGCAAGTTTTTCAGCTATTTTCCAAACTCTGGAAGACACCTTGTTTGTACAGAAAACAAAAAAAGCAGGTGTCTTTTAGTAATCAGTAAACAGCTGAAAAACAAGTATTTTTCTGAAAATTCTGTGAATACAACATCTTTAGACTAAGTCTGTTTTACATACTTCAAAGTTTTCAAAGTAATCCAACACTTGGAAATCCAAACTCCAGACTCCTGTAAATGGTTAAAATCAACTTAAATTTCCGTTTTTGTATTTTTTATTACTGTGTACTATGAAATTGTTTTCATTAATTTGAAAGTATGTTAATTTCAGATCTAGTAAATTTTTTCAATGATCACATAACCTGAAAACCAATCCTAATTCAATCCTCGGTTGACAAATCATATTAATATTTTCAATTCCAACATAATCATCTGCTATACGTTTCTTTTGTCCTGCCAAATCAAATAAAACTCATAAGTTATGAGTCAAAACCAGTATTCAATATTTTCGGTTCAGGTGATTCGTGGAAAATTAGTCTTGCTAATTACGTTTTGAGGGGACCAACTAATCTAGAAGTCTAATGAATTCCAAATTGTTCCTGTGCAAGTGAGTGACTCATTTCCATATACATATACTCGGATTCACTCCTCATCAGTTGAACCCAGTGCATTTCTCGCATGCATTTTCAATTCCGAATTGGTCCTAGTATGCAGAAGGGGGCCCTCCTTTCCCGCCTTCTTCACCCACTTTCGTTTGTCCTCTTTTTGAATCCAAACGGCTTCACATACGCCACAGGGACACACACCCCGGTTCCAAGATTCGTAAGAAACACGAGTTGTATAGCAGGGGAATGGAGCAGATGGGGACGAGGAAGAAGAAGAAGAAGAAATAGAAGTGGAGGGCGAGGGATGTGGTGGAAGAAGAACACCATCTGCAAGATGAGCCCGGGGACTAGTACTACGAAGAAAATGAGGGAAAAGCCGCTAATTGAAGAAGAGCCGTCACAATGATTTAAGGAGACAGACGGAAACAGCGCATGGAGAGAGGATCAAAGAGAGAATCACTGGAGCGCTGAGCATACAATGGGAAGAGAAGTTCAAAAAGAAAGAGAACGATTAGTGATCAAAGCTCGAGTGATATTGAAGGAGATAAATTGAGATCCGTAGATAATCGAAACAAACTACTGGTGATTTCGAAAAGGCAGGGAATCCTGTTGTCTGAGACTACAGTATACCTGACGTATTCCTGTAGCTCATTTTGGTGTATTCCGTCTAACTTTCATACATGGAACTGCAGATAACTTACAGTACCAGTCAATAAGATAGAAACTAGATCCTTTATACGAAGACACAGATCAGCTTCAATAGGGAAATCATCAGTTTTGTTCCGATAAAGTTCCAAGAAATTATGCTACTACAGTAATGGTCAATCAGACTTGAAAAAAACGTATTTTTCATTTGATTTTGAGCATTTCTAGGAGTCTGAAGCTCGGCTGACAAGTTTCCGATCATATTGAAAACTTCAGATAATGTAAAACAGACCTAGATTGAAAGCTTCGAATTCGCAGAATGGTTTGAAATTTCTCAGTTTTTCAGCTATTTGCCGATTTCTAAAAGACACCTGGATTGCACAATTATGATTGTGCAAATTTGTCAATCTAGGTTCTGAAAATGCCAAAAATCCACTGGCAAGCGTGTTTTTGTATATTTCATCGTACTTTAAATATTCAAATAGCCAATTTTCATAAAAAAAAGTTTTCTCCAATTTCTTTTTTGTCTGACGTCTGTTCAAATGTTGCATTCGACCTTTTCATCTTTCTATTTTGGTCCAGTTCAATTTTCTTTTTCGCAACTTCTCCGACTTCTTTACGTCAGACACCGAGGAACGATGAAAACAAGATGATCAAGACAGGAGATAGTGAAAAGAAGAAAGATACAAATCAGTTGCCCCGGTACACCACCGGTCACATACACGAAACCCTACATATACTGTAAATTATCGGTCACTTACATCTTCTTTTTCTTTTTTCCTCCTCTTCTTCTTTTACTTTTTCTCAAAACTCGTGTCAGGTGATTCACCGACATTGAAATGACCTCAAAATTGTTGTTGTTGTTGTTCGGGAGAGAAAAGAGGACAAGAGAAATGGTTTCAAGGCAATCAAAAAGGCTTATGAGCAATGAACCGTGTTATTGCAAATAGAGAAAGTAGTTCGGAGAAAGACACGAGTTACAGTACTGGTCTTGAAGAGGTACAAAAACGTATTTTTCAATTGATTTTCGGTAATGTTCAGGCATCTGGAGCTTGGCTTTCAAGTCTCAGATCACTTTAAATACTTTGGAGGGCGTGAAACATACATAGATTGAAAACTTTGCATTGAAAGAATTTTTTTTAATTCCTAGTTTTTCAGTTATTTGCAGATTTCTGAAAGTCACTTTTTCGGCCCGTTTTTGTACTGAAAACATGAAAAAACAGGTGTTTTTCAGAAATGGGCAAACAACAGAAAAATTGAGATTTTTCAAAAAAGATCTTTGAACGGAAAGTGTTCCACCTAGGTATGTTTTAAACTTCGAAAATCAATTGAAAAAAAATCCTGAAAGAAAACTGTAGGTACCTAATTCTAAAACCATATGTTTTGTGTAATTCTCAATAATTTTGTTCACTTAACACAAAAAAATTTTTGTATGCTCAAGATAAGAATGCAGACGCCGACACTCTTTTCATTTTACAACATATTGCAACATACTGATACCAGGGAGCAATTTGAACAATATAATTAATGAATTCGTTGTTGGCTTGGATTCAAAGTGTACCCATTAACAGTTAGAACAATGTGTCCGAGGTGTATGATTCCCATGGGATTTGGTGAAAAATCTGACAAATCTACAACATCCTGTCTTGGAGCGCCCTGCAATTAGATTCATGGACGCATCTGTTTTCAATTCTGCTCCTTCGCTCTTCTCATTCACTTGGAATTTAGAGGACTCATTACGAGAGTGGGTCTTAGCGAGAAGAGAGAGGAGAATCCTCTTTTGTCTCAAGATTAGTATTAGTGGGTAGGAAAGAGAAGACACTTACAAAGCAACTATGGATGATGAGAAGATATGGCTCGGTGCTGAATATTTCAATTTCGCTGCCGTCTAGAGTGAAGTGCTCTCCGTATTCCACTCGGGTCTCGTCGAGGAAATCATCAGTGTCAAACCAGTCAAGGAGGAATACTAAAAGTATTGAGAATACAATGACTACCATATTTCGGCTAATAGAAGCCCATAAAAATCGTCAACTTTGATTATATTGATTCCTGTGAAAGATATCGAAATTTTGTTAGCCGGGAAAATATTGGTGATATTATCACAAACATTTTGTCGATTGACAGATTCTTGATATCGCTTACATAAATTGAGATGATTGAGCTCATAGTTGACGGTTAGGGTTGGCTTCAACTAGAGGAAGTAATAATTAAAGTACCAGCCAATGAGTCATACGAAAACGTATACTTCTGTTAATTTTCGGCTATTTCGACCATTTTCGGGGAGTCTGACAAACTCACCATCAGAAAAATCTTCTTCCATCAACATGACTAATGGTGGCGGTGCTTTTCTAGCAAATGGGCAATGAACTGATCCTCTTACACTTGTTGTTTCAGCCGCTCCATAGACAACCAGCGCTAGAAAAACCAAGTAGAACATTTCTGAATGCATGTTTGTGAATAAATTTCAGAATTTCCGGCGTTTTGTTCAACTCGTCGTATGTTTCATATACACTGCCTCCCAGGTGAATCATCTGATTCAATCCAACACAAAAAAATTGTATAATGCACACTATTTCATTAGAAAAAAAAGTAATATATTTATATGGACCATGATGAGTCAACGAGAAAGAATGCAAGCGAGCTTATCGTGAACAGTACCTCATTCAACACATGTAACATAAAAAAAAAGAATGAGGGACTGACAACAGTTTTGGTTTGTGTACGAGTAGGAAAAGTAGGAAGAGATCGAGAGAAGAACTGCATATGAGGGATTTTTGTGGAAATTATGAACGATGAGAGCTGCTGGTGCCCGACTGACGACTGATTTTGTTTTTGATAGATTTTGAAGTTATTTCACAGAAGATTTGCTTGATTTCCTGAGACTGTTGCTCACCAAATCTTTCAGTGAGCACCTGATCTAGCTTGGCACATGGGCTCTGTGAGTGGGTCTCAGATCCACTATCGTAGTCTCCATCTTCATCTAATTCTTGAGAATTTCCTTGGCTGGACATGGTGCAGTTTCCTGAAATAGAGTAAAAATATTTGAAGATGAGAACTTGAAACTCTGCAGGACAGCCAAATTTAGTATCTGTCAATAAGGTATACAAAAACGTGTTCTTCGGTCATTTTCAGGAGTCTAGAGCTCGATTGTCAATTGTCCGAGAATTTTAAAAAGTTGTGAAGGTGTAATACAGACCTAGATTGAAACATTTCCCTTCGCAGAAATTCTTCACGAATTAAAGTTTTTCAGCTATTTGCCGATTTCTGAAAGTCTCCTGTTTTTTACGTTTTCTGTACAAAAAAGGGCCAAAATAGTTTGTGTTTCAGAAGTCGGCTAATAGCTGGAAAACTGAGAATTTTCAAAAAATTCTGTGAAATTTTCAAAAAATTCTGTGAAAAAGTTATAAATCTAGGTTGGTTTTTAACCCGTTAAAATTTTCAAAGTGGTCGGACACTCGACAGCCAATCTCCAAACTAGAAACGGGCAAAATCCACTGAAAAAAAAATGTTTTTGGATATCAAAAACCGGCTATTTTAATTATTTTCTGAAGTTTTGCAGCCAAGAAAATTCAAATTTGATAGAGAAAAAGTTCGAAAACTCAACACCAAAATCGTTTTGGAAATACTTCATTCTCGAATGTTGTATCAAAATTCGAGCATAAAATCAATGAAGCGAAATTGTTTCTCAATTATTTCTTCTTCCACTACTATACCTTTGAATCCTGCATGGTCAGTGATGTATACTTTGGACCACCTTCTGATTGAACACTCAAATATCCATAACTCTCATCATCCAAATTTAGCATCACCGTAATTTCCCCTCGTATTTCATTAAACTCTGGACGATGATCTGGATCCTCAGCAAAACATTTTTGCATAACGGAGAAACTGTAAGCTACCAAATTTTATCAAAACCAGTTATTTTGTATTTCTTACATCTCATTCGGACACTTTATTGGTTGCGACAATCGTCCTCCTGCTAACAAATGTTCAAGCATGTCAACCTGTTGAACAGTAGGATATGGAACATCGCCCATTGAGAAAATCTCAAATAGTAACACTCCAAACGACCAAACATCACTTTTGGAGGAGAATTCGTACAGTTTCAATGCTTCAACAGACATCCATTTAATGGGAAGACGCCCTCCTTTCGCGGTGTATAATGCTGAATCCATATACCGGCATAGACCAAAGTCACTGATCTGTGAGATTGAAAAAAGTAGACGAGGAAAGCAGGAAATTGATACATACCTTTGCTGTAAGACTTTTTGTTAGCAAAATGTTTCGAGCTGCCAAATCTCGGTGAATGAAATTTTTAGATGTCAAGTAAGCCATTCCATCAGCAACTTGCCAAGCAATAGAGACGAGGTCTTTTATACGAAGACACATATCAGCTTCAATTGGGCAATCATCGGTTTTGTTCTGGAAGTCGTAATTCGGCCAGGCTACTATTGAAAAAAAAAATATACCATGAGCACATAATCCTTATGTCTCCTCAAAAATTTCAGTAAATCGCCACGGGAACAATACTCCACCACTATCAACGGCTCATATGGGTTTGACACACATCCAAGCATACTGATAACATGCGGATGATGTCCCAGCCTCTTCATAAAATCAATTTCATGAAAGAAATCCAAATGATTCTGTTCATCGGCATGAGCAGGAAGTTTCTTGACAGCTGCTTCGAAGTGACCGCCATTATTCTCTGATTCAACTATCATATTCAAACTATTGTTGACAACTAAAAGTGGAATTTTTCCTTTCACAATTCCTTTGAAAACATTGGCAAATGCTCCGTTTCCGAGAAGATGGTCTTCTTGAACCAATAGATTTTTAGTGTCGATCTCCCAGATGTCTTTTCTGTAAACAATTTTTTTCAATAAATATTTCATTGGACTACTGTATGCTTACTTGTTGGCATTTGCAAGGGCTTGAATATCCATATAATTATTAGCCGAAGCAAAATGTGACCATCCAGGTGGCTTGTTTCTGAATATAAGTTGTTATTGATTTTAGAGATCTTCGGAATTCACTCACAGTTCTTTGCAACTTCCCATCTCCATATCTTTCATTATCCCTTTTCGTTTTCCCAACCATTTCTTCCGCAACTCCATTGTTCCAGCATTATGCTCATTCGAGAAAACATTCATCCGCATCATTGCCATTTTCAGTTTGGCGCATTTCAAACAGCATACAAAAAATGCGATGCAACAAATAGTCAAACTCACGCACGGAATTCCAATAATGAGCAAAAGTTCTGTAACATCTAAAATGAGCAAACAATACTTGCTGACTAATCTACAGTCTACTTACGCCAATCAAAATCGCTCTTTTCTTTTTCAGCAAGACAAATTTGAAACTCTTTGGTGTCATCTTTTTCAAGGTTCATGTCGACAATTTCACACCACCATTTTGGATTTAAGTATTTACATCCAGCGAGCACGTTTTCCACTAAACCTGAAAAAAGTATCTTTCGGTAATGGCGTCTAGTGCTGGAGTAATACTCACTTTGAGAATCCTTCAAATTCTGATTCAAAAAAAAGAACTTTACAATGTATTGTGCATCAATCAGTTTGTTCAAAACTTTGGGGAAATCTTGCATGAAAAATCCATCTTCACACAAGTCGATATATGATAGGTCTGTGAAAATGTTCAAAATCCCAGCATCAGTAATTATTGGGTTTCTAGTGACACAGTTCGACTGAAACAGCACAAAAATAATTAATCTGATAATTAAATCTGAAACAAACCACATCGCTCAAAAGAATGAACATTTGTTGACCAGGCTCATTGATATAAGCGCTTGACACCAGAGCCTTGCTGCTGTTATACGTGGCTCTTTTCAGAGCGCTTGAGGTAAACTGAAAATCTTTTCAATCATGAGATATTCCTACAGTACCAGTCAATAAGAAATATGAAAACGTATTTTCCAGTTTTTTTTTTCAGAAATTGGAAGTTGGCTGTCAAGTGTCGGTTCACTGTGAAAACTTTGAAGAGTGTAACACAGACTTAGACTTAAAACTCTGCACTTATAGAATTTTTTGAAAGCTCCTCATTTTTCAACTACTTGCCGATTTCTGAAAGACACCTGCTTTTATTCCCATTTCTAGTACAAAATCGGGTCAAAAAAGAATGCGACACAGAAATTGATAACCACGAGTCTAGGTATGTTTGGAACCATACAAAATTTTCAGAGTGATTCGATAATTGACAGCCGAGCTCCAGACTCTTGAAAATGGTCAGAATCAACTGAAAAACACGTTTTTGTATATTTCATTGACTGGTACTGTGTCAGTGTCCCTCTCTTACTGGTAACAAAGGACTGCAGCTATTGTCTTGTCCTGGATAAACGTATTGAACCGAACTTTTTAAGTCGCAAGAATTAGTTGTCTGAAAATATTTTTCAATTTCCATAATCTCAAAATTTTTTTTTTCCATTTACTCACCGAGCTAACAAATTGTTTTATGCTGTCGCAATTCTCATCTACTTTTTGAGGATCTTTTAGAAGAACAATATTTGTCATCCTCCATGTTACACAAGATTTCGACGAAACTCCAGCTGAAACATAAGGAAATATAAGGTAATTGTAGAATCTAACATCAGAAAGAGCCAAAAAAATTCGTACGACCTAAGCAGTGCACACCTGATCGGATTATCAGCCGATTTTCGCGCCGAAAACCTATTTCACCACTGATTTTTCCTCTTTTCTTTTTCTTCAATATTCAGATAATGATACAAAATACAAGTTCAGTGTGTGTGCATGCAAAAAGTTCACTGGAAATGATGTCATGATGACATTGCAACTTGTAATCAAAGTTGATGATAATAAAGGGAAAAAACAATACCTAGACAGGCGTCAGATATGTCTCCAGTGTACTGTTTCAGATTTTTGGGGGTCGCGTCGGGATTCAGAGTGCACCCTTTTCCAATCTGAAAATAATCAAAATGAGAGGATTTTTAAAAAATCAAAAAATTCCAGTTTTTCTTCAAGGAAGAAAATCCTCAAAATGATTTTCGTTCAAATTACGGTAATTATCGTTGTAAGACCTTTGTTCACGGTCATTAGAAGCTTCTAGATGTCAATTCAGTCAAACTACATTCTCGTCGACAAATTAATCAAAGTCATAAGATGCTTGAAAAGATGAGTATTGATGACAAATAAGAGTAAATTTGAATCTATTAGACATATTAGCTACATGTGACGTTTGTTCAGCTCTGGAAGTTCAATATGTTTGATTTCAAAAATTACTTACAGTTTTTAAGGTTGTACGAGCCTTCTGAAAAAAAAAACAGATTGAGTGATCCGAAAATTGATTTTAAAACTTACTGGAGAAGTAGTAGGGTTAATTGTGAACATATTTGGTTGCGTTGGGGATCCAGTAATTTGATACTGAAATAATTTCCATGAAAACATTTTTAAAAGGCTACTTACTTGTCCATGACTCCCGGCGACCAAAAAAGTGACAATCAGAATAATTGAAAATCCGCCCAGGATTTTCATCACTCGTTTTCTGTCGGCAAAAAGTGAGGTCGACGGAGACTGTTCACGTGTCGGGTTATCGAAACGGTACTTGATGAAGTGGGAGTAAGGCGGATTAGGCGAATCGATAAGAAGAGTTTCCTTGGGTTGGTGCATGACGAGTGTTTAACGAAGAGCGAAAAGAGGGGTGAAACCTTCAATTCTATCAGTTTTTCTCTCTCGGGTTTTATAAAAGTGTGATTAGAATGTGACCTTAAATAAAAGTAAGAAAAGCGTGAAATTGTGTTGAATTAGGAATGAAAAATATAGTTTTTATGGAGGACTTGAATAAAAAACAGCTCGCAGACTTCCAATTGAAAACAAAGAAAACTGTGAAGTGCCGTTTGAATTATATGAAAAAATGGAATTGAAACCGAATAGCTATATTTTGTTTATTTTGAAACCTTATAATCTGTAAGTTAAATACCGTAAACCTTGTAGTGAAAGGGCCATCTAACTTTTGGCTTTGTGCCATTTTTATTGGCTCCTGTCAATGATATGAAAAAGTTGTCAACTGATAGATTGTTCATCATAATATAGCCAGCCTTTTTGTAGTTAGCAGCTTTTTGACATACCTCACAGAAATTGAAACAATTGAGTCCAAATTACAGGTGACGTCCAATTATTGGTTTTTAGAACCTTGAAACACTTTAAATCTCATAAAATAGAAATCAATGTTCTCTGACTTCAGCTATATCATTTTTCAAAACAAAACTGTTTAACAAAAAATAAGAATACATTTTTTCGGTTTCTATGGAAATGAATTTTTGAAAATAATATTCACAAAAACCACGATAAACTTGGCTGGTTTTGAAGTGTGGGGACACTGCTATATAAGTTTCCACGGAAACCGTACCAAATTAGATAATATTAATTGAAAATGATAGTATTTAAGGCGGTTCTGTGACAGTATTTTTTGGACAGCTCATTTTAAAATCATTAGATCCAAAGATGATTATTTGAAGAGTTTGACAATTGATTACTTCTCAGTAAAATGTAATTACCACTATAAAATTGAATTCACAATAACTGCTGAAAACACTTCCTTATTATGACCATTAATAATAATTAAAATTTTGTCAGTTGACCACTTATAGATCTCTTTCACAGGAATTGAGAAAATTGGATACTAATTGACGGTTTAAGGATATTCTATCAGAGTGTTTACGGTAATCACATTGAAGTCCGCAACAAAACATAGAGAAACCGTGGAACAACCACAATATTTCACATAACAGGAACAACTACCAAAGTGGAAAAAGAAGAAGAATGGAAATGATGAAATCTTCTGACTTTTGTGTCTCTATGTGTGCCCAGAATCTTCTCTAAACATAATCCTCTAATTGCAACCGACAAAATGACCAAAATGTATTGAAGAATACAAAAAAGTAGTACAAGACAAGAAAATACGGTGAATGGAGGCATCAAAGTTTCAGATTTAGGATAGGCCAAAAAACACAAGAATGATGACACTTTAACGAGGAGGGACAGGAAGTAGTATGACGAAGAAACTACTGGAAATATAAAAAAAAAGAAAGAAAACAGATCGAAAAAAAGATTATAATCAGAATTTAGAAGTATTGTCAAGACAATCGTCGCTCCAGATGTCAAGAGAGTACGCCGCTTTTTTATCATCATTTCTTATATGGCTTGCTGAAAAAAGAAGGTAAAGACGCACAATCAAAAAATTTAGTGAAGGGATTATTACGAAATAGATCGAACTCACTCATTTGTCTTTCCAAGTTAGCTGCATCTCGTTTGAAAAGAATTGCAGCCAGCAAATATAAAAGGGTTGAAGCAGCCATCATAAAAGGAGCTAACAAAGAAGCATAAGCTAGAGATTTGTAGTCCCATTCAGGAGAGTCGACGTGTCCAGACTTGATGCTATCCGAAATCTGGAAATATATATATATATAAATTTGGACTCTGAAGTAGTAAGAAGTCGTACAGCTCCAATAATATATGGTCCTGATGCATCACCAAATAAATGAGAAACCAATGTGACATATGAAAATGCAGTACTTCTTCTTTCCGGAGCTACCACTTGCTAAAAATCCGAAAATAAATATAAACCTTACATTTGGTGCACCTTACATTGAATACTTCAACATTCAAACTCCAATTAAAACACAGTCCAGTACACGAGATGCCGACAAGCACCCAAGTTAGAATTTCACTTTTATGACCCAACGTGAAAAGAGCAAGTAGACAAGGCGTCGCGATCATTGCTCCCAATCCAGCAGCGATCAAATGACCACGTTTGGTTTTGCTCCATTGTCCGAGCCATCCGTATAGAAAGCATTGAGCTATGATGTTTCCTAGAAGTACTCCAATGATACCACCAGCTGTTGTGAGAAGACCAAAAATGATACCAGTTCTGGAAAAATAGACATGACGGTTTTTTTTGAGAAAATTCAATTTTTCGAGACTAACTGGTTTTTGAAAGATGATGGAAGTTGTTTAATGCTAGCGTATCCTCTGGTCCATGCGGCGGAGTATTCAATAATAGTTGGCATCCACCATGTCAGAGTTCCACTCACAAATATGAGACAAGTGTATCCCATAGTAGTGACTACATAGGTTGGGCTGAAAATTTTTTTTATTTCACAACTTCCCAATTTTTCCTTGTCATACCATCTCAAAAGAATTCTTAGATCCTTCATATATGACGTCGTCCGTCTGACAGACTCTTTTCCTTCAACTTTGTCTGCAGCTCCGCGTTCCGGCTCATAGACCAAGAAAAGAAGAGCCAACAAAGCAATGACACCACCGATTCCAGTGACTCGCACACCCCATTGCCAATAACCGGTTAGACTTGCCACATTCGAACTGATGATGTATCCCAGACCACTTCCAACGGGAACAGCAAGATAGAAAAGCATGTAGACTCTTGTACGCTTATCCGTTGTGAACATATCACTGATCATGGTGGGACAGATGTTCACATAGCTAGCCTCCCCAATTCCAACCAGTGATCGTAAGACGAGAAATAGAGGGAAGAGCTGAAAGCGTTGTTCTTTGAACGAATCTCATTTTCAATATTCTTTCTTTTTCATTTCTAGCTTCAACTCTTCCTGTCGGCGAGTCTTTGAAATAAATGTTTTATCAAACGCACCGCGGCGACCATAAACTTGAGTCAGAGGGAAAGGTGTGAAAAATTGGGGTGGCTTTATCAGCGAAAAAAGACTAACAGTAATTTGGTAAGTGAGCAAAGAGCGTCAATGAGGAAGCAAAGTAGCTTGTCGATAATTCAGATCGACACTTTTTGATCTTATAGAAACTGTGGGATCGCGTGTTTTTGAAGTTTCAATTAAAAACCATAAATGAGCAATCGAATGTTATGAGAGATGATTAGGCAGTTCAAAAAATCAAATTCAAGTTTTCAACGTTATCAAGTTTTTATCGTTAAAGCCAAAAGTAAAAATCAGAAGTGTCTAAAAGTGTTAATTGAGAAATATGAAGACCATCAAAAAAAGAACAAGTTGTTTTTCGTAGTAAAACATTACCTTACCGTAAAACCTCTAAAAGTAAGGCATCTTAACTTTTAATTTCAAGCCGTCTTTGCTCATTTCTTGTTATAAGTCTGAAAACGTTGTCCACTGAGAAATTGTTCACCATAATATTGTAAGTGGTTTTAGCACGTTTTTTGATATTTTTCATAGGAATTGAGATAATTGAGCTCAAACTTGACTGTGTGGGTTCCCTTCTATTTCAGGTTTAACAGTAACTAGGTCCAGATTCTAGGGATTTCACGCATTTTTTGCAAGCACCAGAGTTTGGAAGCACCTATCATAACTGTTTCAAATATGATAACTAAGGAAACTAATGAAGAAATATATTTGCGACTACAGTATCCAATCCATTAAACTTACATTTCCAGGAATAAACGTCGAACCACAAACACAAATCAACCAAATCACCATTCCTACCATCATGATATATTTTCGATTAAACCTGTAAACAACTTGGGTTACAGTAATCCATGGTTTCGCATTTCTTACCTATCACCCAGATAACCGCAAATTGGAGAAGCAATCATGAAAGAAATGAGGAACACTGTCTGTATCATGCCTCCCATTGAGTCATTAATATCGTAGTAGCTCTGTACTTCAGGTAGAACCCCTGGAATGAATTGTGTACGTTGCGGTATAAATCATCATCATCACACACCAGCAATTGTAAATCTGTCTATATTATTGACCAAATTCACACAGAATAAGATAACAATACTGATGTAATCCCTCGTTTCGTTCACCATGTTTGATTCTGAATTATTTTTAAATTAGAAGAAAGGAAAAGGTTAGTTGTAATGGAAAAAGAAACTAGGTAGTTCTCGAAAAAGGTTCTTCTCAAGTCGTTCACCAGGCCTATTAATATGATCATAGTGATAAACTGATAAACTCAGAGAGCGCGGATTTTACGAGTTTCCACGCCTCCCTCATTTCTTTTTTTGCTCTCCTCACTCTCTCTCTTTTTTCTCAACCGCTACTCACGTATGGTTCGAGTCCCGGCAAAGCGGTTAGATCAAAGATGGTGATATTGGCATGCCTGTTATGACCAGGAAACATGATAAGAGCCCCCATCCAGAGAAGGTGTGAAAAATGGGTAATTCAGGTGTATGGAATGTCTACGTGTAGGGAGGTAAAGGTGGAAGGGCAATTGCGGTGTTGGAATTTGGACTCGACCGACGTTTTATGGTACTTTTGATAACGACGAATGCGGACATGTTAAGGTCTTTTTAGGGATGGGCGTTCTTGAACTTAGATTTTTGAATTTACCTAAAGTTGCCTTATATGTTTGTGTTGTTCCCAGATACCACAAAACCGGTGATAGACAGGACGCCTAAAATTTAACGTTGAGCTCAATTATCGCTGTTCTCATGAGAGATATCGAAAACCTGTCAACAAATAAAATGTTCACCACATCATCTCTGACATTTTATTAGTTTACAGATTTTTAATATCTGCATAGAAATTAAAATAATTGAACTCAAAGTAAGATTATATTTGAGCATTTAAGGTAGTTTTCGAAAACTTCCGAGGGGTTTGTTTTTCAAAGAATAAGATAGAAATGTGGTAATTTACCTTGTTTTCACAGATATTCAAAACTTCTGGAACGGATTTCACTTTTTTTCAGACTTTACTATAACAAGCTCTCATTTTTCAGGGTCTTCATTGATTTTCCAGCATTGTTCAGTTAACCTTCTTCCCTTCAGGTTAGCTATCGAACTCTTCTGCTCTGAAAATCCGATTTATTCAACCACTTTTTTCAATTAATATAATTTTTCCCACGACGATTTGGTATAATGCCGTGCGAACATTTATTATATATTTTAATCAGATAATTGCACAATCGGAATTTTCTCAGGAAATAATTCTTTTTTGGATATAATTTTTCATGGTTTCCTGAACTTCTCACACGGGTTCCTGATAAAATTCACCATTAAATCTAAGTGTTTCTTTGAAAATCGACTGCTGATAAAACAGTATCTTTATCAGAAGCTAATTAACAATTGATTGCACACTTTTTTCGCACCCGTTACTGATTTCCTGATATGGACCCGAACTGACAGACTTTCCATGAACTGTGTCTTCCATTTCATTCACGTGAAGATAGTTTGACTCATTATCAATTCCGCGAAAAAGAGAAGAAGCGATCATAAAAAAATGGGGAAGCAGGGGGAAAATAAAAAAATAATGTCTAGATAAAGTGGGGGAGAAGTCTTCGGTCGTTGTTTGGAGTCTACAATCATCAAAGATAGATAAATTCAAAGAAGACAAAGGTCACGAAGGTGAACTGAAAGAGATATAAGGAATTTGGAGATCAGAAACCGCAGTTCTGATTTTTCAGGTCCCTTTGGAAAAACCCTGTATTCATTTTTATTATCCATCATGGTTCTGCTACCCGAATAACCAATTTTTGATTACAGAACTTTTTTTCAAAATCTACAAATTTACCAGACTACCAATTTGGTTACAATGTCTCTCATTTTCAACACTGTAAAAGTTTAATGTATTTTTGTTTTATTTCATAACGACAGGTGTCAGAAAATTTGCTGATCTATCTACCGAAAACTGTGTTCTAAACAAGTATCGAACCGATCGGGTCAAAATCAATTTTTTCAAATAGCACGTATTAGAAGTTGAAAATTCTTTCAGATGGGCAGTTTCCAGATTTTTGGCTTTTGAGAAATAAAAAGAGAAGATGAAAGAAAAGATTGGAAAAATAGGAAAAAATATTATAACATTTTGGTAATATTTGTGGCTGATTGAATGTTTCAGGAGAGAACCGTTGATTCTGACTATTCAGTTGATTCTGACTATTTTCCGGAACCTGGAGCTTAGCTGTCAAGTGTCCGATCACTTTGAAAATTTCGGAGAGTGTAAAACAGACATATAGTGAAAATTTTGCATTCACACAACTTTTTGAAAATTCCGACTTATCCAGTTATTTGTCGAGTTCTGAAAGATAACTGTTTTTTTACGTTATCCGTACTAACAATTGGCCAAAGGGCGTATTTCAGAACTAGGAAAATAGCTGAATAACTAGAAATTTTCATGAAAAGATTGGGAATGTAAATTTTTCAATCTATCTCGAAAGATTGCCATTTTCTACCTGCGCTCACGAATTTTTTTTAACTTTCAAAACTTTTCAATTGTTAAAGATATGACGTAAAGCATTTCAATTCTCCATCAATCTTTCTGAAATCCTCTTTTTTTCCTCCCACAGAGAATCCAATTTTTCCAGGAAAAATCCCAAGTCGTAAAATCAGAGACAATTTCTTCCACGGCACAAGAAAAAAGTCGTAACCGAAACCAATTATCCCCCTGCATCCCTCCCTATTCGCATAATCCGTTTTCTTAAGTTGGCTCCGGTCCTCCATTCTTTCGAATACTTTTATTCAGTTATTTTTTGTTGATATTTGGGGCGGAGTTTCTGGATTCATACACTTCTCAGTCGCCATATAACTCAGTCGCCATATAGTCTCAGTCGCCATATAACCTCCCTATTCGCATAATCAGTTTCCTTAAGTTAGCTCCGGTCCTCCATTCTTTTGAATACTTTTCTTCAGTTCTTTTTTGTTGATATTTGGGGCGGAGTTTCTGGATTCATACACTTCTCAGTCGCCATAGAAACTCGTGCCTTATAAAAAATATAATGGGCTCCGTTGTGCGGCGACCGCGTTTTCCATTTTATTCTCGGCAGATTCGCGGAAGAAGATGTTGAGCCAAGATTTTCCCGATTTGTATACATTTTGACTACATGGAGAGCATTTTCTTAAGCTAGATCCCGTTTCATTAAAATTATCTAATTTCCAGAAACAAATTTGCTCTTTTCCCATCATGGCTGATGCTGCTTTGAACAGCACCACTGCCACATCGGTCATGAAAGTCTCTACAACTTTCAACATGGACCAAATCAACCGAATCAACGGGTTCTTTGACTCGACCGCTGGCGCAATCTTCTTCACCTTCATCTGGGTCAGCTTTGTTGTTGGAATGATTGCATTCTCGGTCTGGATCATCTGCAAGAATGAACGGGATGCCAATAACAATGGCATGGACCACGATTACGAGTCTAATGGAGTGATGCTCCGCAACGCACCGGTTGGTCCAGTTGTTGAGATGTGAGTGGAAAATTAGAATCAGAATTTAGAAACATTGTTTACATTTTTTTTTCTATGTTTTAACATTAATTTTCTTGTTTCAGTGAACTCCCAACCATCAACACGAATGAGAGCGACGCGGATGGTAAGTACCACCGCATGTTCTAATTCTCCCGGATCTTCAGACACCTTCTCCGATCTCCTGTTGCTAATTGATCTCTTACTAATTGAGTGTCTGAATAAATATATTTTGTTAAATCCATCGTTATTAAGAATAAATATACAAAAGAAGCAAATTGAAATTTGGACGAACAGTAATTGTTACCCACTTTTCAAAACTCAGAGTTGCTCAAGCTGCAAAATAATAAAAAACATTCTGCTAGGAATAAGTGAGCGGAACTTTTTCGTATAGTTAAGATTGACTTTCAGTTTTTGATTAATCAGAAAATTGTGAGAAACTGGTGGGCTGAAAATTTTCCATAAAAAGTTGAGAATGTGGTATTTCCAAGTATTAATTTCAGAGAAAAAATAAAAAAAACGAGAAAAAATTGAGAATAGCGATTCTTTTTTTCTTGTACACAAAAAAACAAAGTTCTGAAATACGGAATTCCTGATTTTGTATTTCAAAAATATACTGTAATCACTCTGACAGATTAATTCCTTTCAATTTGAGCTAATTTATCTTGATTTCTGTAAAAGATATCAAAAAATTATTAACTGATAAAATATTGCTAATATTATCAGCAATATTTTGTCAGTTTATCACTTTTTGGTATCTTTCACAGAAAATCAGATATATGCTCTCAGCTGATGGTTTATTTTATTACAGTGTTTTCAGTACTGCCAGCGATGTATGGAACGGCTTTCTCGAAATTTTTCGCAATGTCAAAAATTTCGAAACGGAAGTTGGGAACTTTTGAATTTTGAAAATTTCGGAATTTCGGGAAACTACAATTTTTAAAATTTCCGGATTTTTCCATTTTAGAAATGTAGAATTTCTTAATATTTAAATTTTCTGAAACTCGGAACTTCAAAATACTGCGATTTTCGAAATTTCCGGAATTTCCCATTTTTTTAAATCTTGGAGTTTTCGAGTATTTCGATTTTTAAAATTTCGAATTTTCAGAATATTCCGATTCTTAAAAGTTTGAGATTTGAGAAATTGGGAGTATTCAGATTTTGGAAATATCGAAATATCGGGATACTATGATTTTCAAAGTTTGGTTTTAAAATCATTTTGAGAATCAGATTTCTATAACGCAAAATTACTGGAAGTGATTCCCTTCGAGGCCCGCAAGGATACTTTTACGTGTTCCTTAGACATTCCGTAGTCCGAAAACCTAAAATCACATAAATATCAAAAAACTATAAATATCAAAAAATCTATAAATATCAACAAACAATACCAACAGAAAAAATATTTTAAAAAAGAGAGAAAAGACGAAGGCACAGGCACTATTTTATCATTATTGTTTCTCACAGACGAGTCAATCAACAGTATTATAAAATGCACACATAGACCAAGTGAAACAGTTCTATGGCAGAAAAGCAGTCGGGCATACAATAGAGTCTCTTTCTCTACCAGTCATTGTTTTCCAACCACCAACCGAATTGGCGCCTTTATTTCTCTGATTCTGTGGGTTTTTACTATGTCGTCTCTATTTTCTATCCGCCAAATTGCGATACACCTGCGCAGAATGGTAGCCGATTGAACTTTCTTTTTTTGTGTGTGTTCCTACGCCTCCCTTATACCTACCATATGATCACTCTTTTACCAAGTTCATTTCTCCAATCACTTTTCATTGACTTCGCCAATTTACAAGTGTGACCTTGCATTTTTCTACCCTTATTTCTACGTTGACCAGTCATAGATAGTATCAGTGTGTAGAAAAAAAGCTAGAGAAAGAGAGACGTTGAGAATTCAAAAATTCAAAGTTTCAACCTAAAATCTTATTTTTTTTGCTAAATTTTACAAAAGTTTTCACTTCATCGAGTTTTTGTTTTTTGTGAGTTTTTCTTTACAAATTCGAATTCTTTTTTTTCAATTTGAACCTTCGAGTTTCCAAATGCCCCAGACATTTTTTGACTAACTGCGTAACTTATAACTTATATTACCCCTCAAAAGTTATAATATTCCAAAGATCCTATATGTTTCCATTGCCGCTTTTTTTGTTTTTCATTGTCTTTGACTCAATGATGTGTTGAACACACGAGTTGACAAATCACAGAGAGTCCGACCGATCCGATTATTCAAATTCGACCGGTTTCGATGATGATTGACAAGAAAGCGAGTGTGTGCGTGAAAACGAAAATACAGATGTGTCGGCGTCATCAGAATTTCGTTTGCGAGAAATAATCGGGAAACGCGACACCGGTGTTCATTTTAACATTTTTTGAGTTTTTTTCGCTTATCAGCTCTCGAACAGAAACAAATTATTTGAATGGTAGGGTGTTTTTTTGAAAATTCTGAATTTTCAAGATTGTATTCTTATTGTAAGAAAAAGAAGCTAGAAAAATAAAACAAGAGACGCTAATTCGATTATTGAACAATAGGACATTTGATCATTTCTGTTAATTGCTTTTATCATTTTTTGAAAGGAATTTGAGAGTAATTTCAGGTTTGTAGCTTTTTCTCGAGTTCGTTCAAAAGCCTGTTCTAATTTTCAACAGCTGAAATATAATTTTGAAAAAAACACAATAATTTTTTCGCAATTTTTAATTGAAAGGGGAAAATTAAAAAATGTGACGTATTTCAAATTTGATAAACCTTCAAAATACCAGATTCCGTTAACTTTTCAAAATTTCAACTCACTATTTTAAATTATAAAAACTCAAGATTATTTTTCGCTTGAGAGCCCTCAAAATATGAAAATCGGAATATTCCAAAATTCCGAAATTTTGAATATTCGATGTTCTGAAATTTCGAATTTTTGAAATCGGAATATTTTGACTTTCTACCATTTTGAAATCAGTGTGATTGGAATACTCCAAAATTTCGGAATTCCAAAAACTTGAAAATCGGAATATACCAAACTTTGCAAATTCCAAAATTTTCAAAATATAATTATTCCGATAATCTGAAATAACGAAATCATTGAAATCGGATGGTTTTGATAATCCGAACTTTTCCAAATCGGAAGATACAATATTCCAAAATTCCGTAACTTTAAAAAAGGAAATATTAAAAAATTCCGCAATTCAACCGATTTTGAAATCGGAGTTCGGAATTTTTGAAACTCGGAAAATTCGACATTTTGAAAAATTCCAAAAAGGCCATTCCAAAAATAGTTCTCAGCTTTCGTTAATTTTCCAATTTTTAAACTCACTATTTTTTCTTTTTCTCTCGAGACCCAAACAGCTAATATAAATTTTCTTAGTGAGATTTTTCTCCGAATTATCAGAAAGATTTTATTTTTCATTTCACTAAATGTAAACTACCCCAACGTGTATAAAATGAAAGTGTAAATGAAAATCTTTAGCAGCTTTCAATCTCTCAAAATTAAATTTCCTTCCTTTTCCATTACACCCACTCATCGTCCTGAAAATACTGGGAAGTGATGGAAAAGTAAAATTGGATTCTCATGAACGTATCAAAGTCTTTCCTTCTCCATTTTCTTCGCATTTCCTTCAAAAAAGGAGTGCGCTGCCCCAAAGTTGTCCCGTGTATGTGTTTGGTTTTCTCGAGGAGTACACAGCCCCGTTTTTTCCCCGAGGGTCCCTTTGCCTTCTTCTCTTTATCCCACATAATCCCTCACCGCGTTCGGCCACTACTCCTACTCTATCTCAATTATTGATTCTAGTGAGTGGACCACTCTTACCAAATCTTTTCATTTTTTTGTGATTTTTCGCTCAGAATTTTAATCAATTTTATTATTTTCAGTTCTGTTATGGTTTCAAGCTCCGCAATGGCAAGAACATACGGAGACAAGCCGTCGACTTCTTCGATGGAAGAAGACTTGGAAATCGAGGTGTCAATGAGAAACGCATCAATCATCGACCATCAGTATCAATCGGTAAGTGGCGAGTTTGGAAATTGAAAATCGTTGTCAGAATTAGAATTTTTCTGTTAGTTTCAAATTTAAAACTGGGAATAATTATTTTTCTTTTTTCCTTTCGAATTCTTTTCTTCTCAACAGAAGCTGTATGACAAATACCAAAAATTTTTAATTTTCTTTTTTTTCTGTACAATTCTCCTGTTGTTAAACTAGTTATAATGCAGTAAATGTGTGTGTACGCGCGGCTGTTCGCGTATCGGAGACCCCCTTCTTTTTTTCTCTCACTCTCTGTTAACCCTCACCTCGTGCCTCAGTCGTCTATTGGAATACTAGTGTAAGACTCTCAAGCATCGGTGGTTCAGTGGTAGAATGCTCGCCTGCCACGCGGGCGGCCCGGGTTCGATTCCCGGTCGATGCAATTCTTTTTTAATTTTTTTTGAATCATGAGAATGCTAGAAAATGTATTAGACGAGTTCAAATCGGGAAAACGGGAATTCCATTTTCCCTGTATTCCCAAAATGTTTTGAAAATTTCCCCAGACAGGAAATATCCCGAAATTTTTTTTCAAAACTTGTTCCCGGCGCAAATTTCGACAATTTTCTTTTTTTCCTAAATTTCTGTCCATATTTTTTCTTAGTTTTTGATGTGAAAAACAGGCAGAAATCATGGGGAAAACTAATTTTCCTATTTACCCGATTTTCCCAAAAAAAATTTTGGGGAACCGATTTCCCGGAAAAATTATTTGGACAAATTTTCGGGAAAAATTCTCAAAAAACATTTCCAAACATGTATAATCAGTATAGTGCAAAAGACTTCAGTTTTATAACAATAGCTATAAAGTTGGAGCACAAAGACCTTTCAACAAAAAAAAAGAAGAAAAGTGACCTCTCAAGATGCTGACAAAAAAAGAGATTATGTATACATGTCCCACTTCGAGGTTTTTTTTTCTTGTTCCAAAACTCTTACATTCAAAGGCGGCACATGTCCCCATACAACTATTAAAGAAGTGTCGTCTGCTTCAGAAGAAGAAGTCTATTGTCTCTTTTTTCTTTTTCCAAATGAATCATTCATGCAAAGTTTCAAACAAATGTTAGTGGAGGAAAGACAGACAAAAATATAAACAGAAGCATCCTTCTTCATTTCGTCAGATTCATTTTTCTGCATTCTCTTCTTTCTGTTTTTTTGTTTTGATGGGAAATTTGGGTGATTTTTTTTTCTAACTTCTGTTAAATAATTCTGTATATTTTCCAATCAGTTCTAGTTCCTTTTCTGCCTATAAGAATTTTGAAGAGGGCAAAAACAAGTATCTGGAAATTGCGTTTCATGTATCTCAAGAAAAAAACATCTGGCATTCTGATGCTCGAATAACCGAATGATGTGACATCAGTGAGGTGCCAGATGTATTTCTTGGTTGCTCCGCCGGTTGAATTTTATATGTGATATTGAATAGACAGAGGTGCATGTATTTGTATTCGTCTTCCCACATGAATTTTTTAGTATTAGAAGTCGCGAGCTGTCAAAAAGGTCGATTTCATATTTTCCTTTCGAGGGCAGTAAGCAGTCGAATAGTAATGTTTAAAATGATTGACGTGAGCAGAATGGCTGGGATTTTACGTATTTATTTTGCGGATTTTACTGATTATACGGAATGTTGATGCAGCCGTGAAATTTTACGGACATCCGTAAAATTGTATTTGTAAAAATTGTAAACATGGAAAAACTTGTAAAATGACTGTTTTTGGAGCGCAAAACCAATTTTTCAATTCCTTGGCACTATTCCTAATAGAAACCTAATGACTTAAAAAACATAATGACCTACCGTAAAACCTGCATTAAAAGGGCCGGCCCTTTTATTGTTCCAAGGTACCTCCGGAGAGCCCTTCTATTACAGGGGCCCTTCTATTTTTCCGGCCAGTTTTTCCGAAATTAAGCATCGAAAGATTCGACAAAGTTTCATTCAAAATTCATGAAAATCTGCCAATTTCCACAAAAACGGTAACAGCCGTGGACTAGAAAATCCTCGTCTCATTTGTAACAACATTTGGACTCTCATTGTATTTTCAAGAACATTTTTGAATGATTAAACTATGAAAATACACAATTTCGAATTTTGGAATGAAAATTTTGCAAAGTTTCACATTTGAAGTAGCGCCAAACTCGGATTAATAGACTTTTCTCGCCAAAAACACTTTTTTTTGCACATTTTACGGTTTTACGAGTTTTTCGGATTTCAAATCTGAGAGTTTCACGTTTTAGGGGTTCCTTTCAAAAAATAATTTTACGCCCAGCCGTAGTTATTATCAAAACTAATCGTTGATTCAAAAGACAGATTTTTTGAATTTTGTTTAGAATTCAAAAATTCAGGTCAAAAAATTGAAATTCTTTTGTGATAAAATCATCCAGTGGCCGGAAAGTGCCACCCACTGAAATTGAATTACGTTTCAAATCATAAACACTCTCCCATGTGTCCCATAACAACTTGCACATAATAAATTGTAACGATGAAATTATTTTTGGACATATTCGATTTTTTTTATTCTCATCCTCTCTCTTCTCGAAATTCTGAAACGCAATCTTCTCGTTTGACCTCTCTCCCAGTTACTGTTCGGAACACATCAATGACGTTGAACCCATTAACTGTCAACGAAGGTAGATAAGATTTTCGTCTTCGAGAAGCCATAAACAAAAAGACGATCTCGTCCAGGCCGGTCACTTTCTCTACTCTCTTCTTCACCTGCACTATTTCGCGACCATCATCTTCTCCCCCCAACAGTCAATCCTTCCACAATACCGACACTTTGTGTGTCCCAATCCTCTGCGACTCTCGGGTATTCACACTGTTTAGTCTCCTTTTCTCGATTAGTTCCTTTTTCTCATCGATTATTTGCATTAGCCAGTGGTCAACATCTTGCAAATTAGGTTTTTGAGTTTTCGTTCATTTTCGCATTCAATTTTGATTTGAATATTTTGAAACCGAATTGTTCAAATTTAAAAAACCCATCGACTTTCGTTAGATTTTTTTCTTTTGTTGTAGTTTCACTTTGTACATATATAATATCTATTTGTAGTCTAGAAAAAGCAGGCAAGCAGGGGTTTTTGTTCTGTTTTTCTCCCTTTTTTAGTATCACGAGCAAACAAAATTTAATCAGGTGGCCGACTGAAAAAATACGTTATTTTTGATAAAAGAGAAATGGGAATAGACGAAATATACATCAGTTCTTACATATGATTTTCCAAAACTATTTTGTTTATGTCTTTCATGCACTTTGTTATTTGTGTTCAGTAGAGCGAATTTCCTTACTTTTCTTGGAAAATACAATTTCCTTTTCCCACTAGCCAAAACAGGTTCTTGTTTTTTTTTGGCTTTCTGATTCCATGATTATTCGACATTCCTCTATCCCAGTTCTTTTATTCTTCTCCTCTTCATCACGATACAAAGTCGCTGGCATAAAATTGATTTTCTCACCGGGTACATGATTTGTAAGAGATTTTCAAGAAATTCTTTCAAAACAGGCGATTTAATAGTATTTGATGTATATTTCAGGAGCAACACAAGGATCATAAAGTGCTTAACGCGTTCAATCCAACGGATAAGACGTCATACTCCGATATGATTCATATTGACGTGCCGGATACACGGACACTGGTGGAACGATCAGATGGAGTTACTAAATATACGGTGAGTCTTTTTTTTTAGCAGTAAGTTTTAGAAAAATGGGATTAGAATGATATAGAAATCATCTGTCAGAAAGATATCCGAAACCTTTTTTTATCTGGTTTTTGGTTATTTTGACCATTTTCAGAAGTCTGAAGCTTGGCTGTCAAGTGTCGGGGCACTTTGAAAAATTTGGAGTAAAACAGATCTAGATCTAGATTGACAATTTTGTTTTCGCAGAACTTTTAAAAAATTCCTAGTTTTTTAGCTATTTGACAATTTCTCAAAAACAGCTGTTTTTAGCGTTTTCAGTACAAAAATCGGCGGAAAGTGGTCATTTAGAAATCGGCAATTAGCTGAAAAAATAGGAGTTTTTCTGAAAATTCAGTGAATGCAAACTTTTCAATCTAGGCCTGTTTTACACCTTCAAAAATTTTCAAACTGATCGTAAACTTGACAGCAAAATCCAGTCTCTTGAAACTAGCATAAAATCAACTAAAAAATAGGGGTCTGAATATCTTATTAACCAGAAATGTGTACGTACATATTCATTCTAGGCCTACAACATCCACATCAACGGCTGGTACCACGGATCTGTTCGATTCAGCCACTTATATGAATTCGCGGAGCTCATCAAGCAAAAATTTTCCCAAAGATACAAAGGTCCAGAGTTTCCAGCAAAAAAACTTTTCAAACTTGATCCCAAGGCTATAGATGAGAGGCGGCAAAAAATCGCGAAATATTTTCAAGCAAGTGAGTTCAGAATCTTTTTGCAGACCATTTAGAAAGTCGGTTTTCAGTGGTTCAACATCCAGAAATTGCAAGACACTATATTATCGAGAAGAAATTGCTGGGTTTTCAAATTGTAAGAGTCTTTAAAAAAAAAGGAAAGTAGCTTTTAAAAATTTTGTTTCAGGATTCCTTCCGCGCAACTAGTCAATATGTATCACTAGACATTTATCTTGGAAATGGAGAAAAGACAACTATCAAGTGTTTGGTGTCGGATAGCACCATGGAAATAATGAGGGTAAACAATTTTCGGGTTCCATTTCTCAAAAAAATTGAAATTCCTGTTTCAGATACTGGCCGAGAAACTGGGTTTTCACAACAAAGATGAATTCATCTACCATTTTGGTTTGTTCATGGGAAAAGGAAGAGATCCAACTGTTGCCTGCTATTCGGTGACTCCGGACAACTTTAACCCGTTGTGTAAGTTTGTCTTTTGAATTTTCAAAAAACTGAAGCGTTTTGATTTCAGTAACCAGGTTTCTTCGAAACTTTGAATCTCCATTCGTCTCACTGAGCACTGCCAACCAGAAGTACAATGAGAACGGACACTATAATTTCTTATGCATAAGGTAACGCCGAAGATCAAGCGTCAAAAACCCGAGCATTTCAGGAAACTCATTTGGGATACACGCATCGAAGAGTCAATTCTGGATGATGGAGTGTTCGTGGACATGATTTACAGACAAGCAGTGCAAGACTACAAAAACGGGAATTTGGCGCCAATTAAAGATGATTTGGAGTACAAAATGAAGCAATGTATGCAGAGAAATGACAAAATAATGGTAATTCATTAGAAAAAGTCCCGAAAATGAAACAATTGCCTTTCAGTTCCTCCGAAACTGCCATCTTCTTCCAACCTACTCCTACGAAATTCTCTCCCCTTGCTCCTGCGACTACCCAAAACCAGGAACTCCATGTGAAATCAAATTCGGCCGACGACAAGTCGTGTTAACTACACAAGACGAATTCGGAAACCCTAAGACCAGTCTATTCCGCGCTACTCGAATCCGAGTTTGGAGGATCACACAAATAATGGAGAAGATTTCCTTCCAATTCGAGTACCTGATGGCCAAAGACACTTTTGAGTGGATTACTCTGGACACTGATCAGGCAGGATTGAAATAAATTTGAGAAAAAAATAAGTTTTAAAAATTTCAGGCTATTTTGATGTCACTGCTTCTGCAATCGATTGGCTCTGAGATTCTATATGAGCATAACAATATGACGATTGAGCAGCAGGTGATGAAAGAAAAGCAATCAAAAGGAAACTATGTGGAAAAGACTAGTAAACTTCCGGTGAGTATTTTTTTGATTTCTTCGATTCGAGGATATTTGGAACAGACTTCTGAAAATTCCACAAATTCCGGACATTTTTAGAAGAGTTCTTTGAAAAACTGAAAATTTGAAAAAAAAAATCAAAGTTTTTAAATGTTTCGAAAATCCAAAAGTTCGAAAGTTCGAGCCGAAACATTTACGAAGCTTTTTTTTCGGAATATTTTTTTTTTGGAATTAGAAAAAAATTGAAATTCCATAATTCCCAAAATCAGAAATTTCCAAATTTCCGAAAACTCTGAATAAAATTATTCCGAACATTCCTGAGCTTATTTTCAACTTTTGAAACTAAACTTTTTTTCAGAGAGATCCGAAAAAACCAATCATCGTTTTGAAAAATGCGGTCGAAGAGACGGATCCATTGGGAGTCATGGAACATTACCACAACTACAACAGGATGTTAACAACAATTTCTGTAAGTGGAACATTATGGTCTGTTTCAAAATACATACAGGTCTGCACGATAAGATATAGAAAAACGTATATTTTAGTTTATTCTTGGCCACTTTTTTCACTTTCAGAAACCTGGAGCTCGGCTATCAAGTTTCTGATCATTTTGAAAATTTTGGAGGGTGTAAGTCAGACCTAGATTGAAAATTGAGCAGTTGCAGAATTTTTTAGAATGTTCTAGTTTACAGCTACTTACGGTTCTCTGAAAAACACCCTTTTTGGCTGGTTTTTAACTTGAAAACGCGGAAAAATGTGCTTTTTAGAAATTAGAAGATATCTGAAAAACTAGAAACTTTCGAAAAAAATCTGTGAAAGGAAATGTTTCATTTTAGATATGTTTTTTACACACAAAAGTTTTCAAAGTGATCGGACACTTGACAGCCAAGCTCCAGACTCCTGAAAATGGTCAAAACCGACTGAAAAATACGTTTTTACGTATTATAGTACTGTAGCTGACTAGTTCTTCCTTTTTTCAGGACGGCATTCCTCAACGAAACCAAGCGTTCACCGACATCACCAATGATGACTTATAATTTATTCTAAAAAACTGAAAAATACAAAATTCAAGGTGCTATTTTCAATAGATTGTCATTTTTCATCCCACCATTCCTTGTCATTTCTTTTTCTAACTGCATAAATCCTACAATTGAGCTTGCTTGAAAAAAGTTTTGTATGTTATATATATATCTTTATTTTTCAGTTCAGAGAAAAAAGTATAAAACAAGGATGGCGATTTTTTGGAATTGAATATTGAAGTGTCTCAAAAATAGGAAAAGCAAACTGACATGTTGATTCCAAAAATTTTGAAATATGAAAAAAGCATAGACGAAGAAAAATAGAAAAAAGGAGATAATTGGTCTATTAGGGAATTTTTACAAGGTTAGAGAGAGAGAAAAAAAAACATTAAAAGTAAAGTACAGAGGTTTTTTATTGGTTGATTCCCTTCTTCAAGTCGGTGATTTCAATGTGGACCTGAAAAAAGAAGGGAAGTTCCAATAAAATAGGAAAACTATCAATGATAGACCTGGTTCTTTGGGACTCTAGCGAACTTCATGTCTTTGAGGTACATGTAGTATTTGTACACAACGAATGCTACCCAAATGCTCGCGGCTAGAGCAGCCAAGGCGACGACGATGGTGATGGCGGAGATGGTTTCGATTTCTAGAATCAGAGGATTGTAGTTACAGTACCCGTCCATAAAATACACAACATTTTCCATTTTCCGGTGATTTTGGCTGTTTTCAGAAGTCTAGAACTCGACTATCAAGTGTCTGATAAACTTGGAAATTCTGGAAGGTGTAAAACAGACCTAAACTGAAAACTTTGCATTCACAAAAGTTTTCGAAACTTCCTAGTTTTTCAGCTATTTCTCAATTTTTGGAAGACGCCCGTTTTCCGGTTTTTTACTGAAAACTCTAAAAAATCAGGTGTCTTTCAGAAATCGACAATTAGCTGAAAAACTGGGAAATTTAAAAAAATTCTTTGCATGCAACATTTTCAATATAGGTATGTTCTACGCTCTAAAAAGGTTTCAAAATGATTAGAAACTTGACAGCCGAGCCCCAGACTCCTGGAAATCGCCAAAATCAACTGAAAAATACAATTTTGCCTCATTGACCGAAACTGTAACTTTGAGTCTGTCTTACCTTCTCTGTTCTCTTCCAATCCTTGATCCTCGGTTTGTGATGCATTCTGGCTTACAACAAAGTTGTTAACAAGTTGTCCAGTTGGGCCGGATGGGTCAATTAGAGACCAGATTGTGAAGGCCAAGAAGATAATCGAGATAATAGCTCCAAGAATCTGAAACCCCTTTTTTTTATGTTCTCTATTTTCATCAGACGCATTCCTTTCTTTATCATATGATCACATTTTCTACGTTCTCGGGAATCAACCACACCTTTTACACAACGTCTTTATTCAGTCACCAATCACAGCAGGTAGCCCACGACAGGTTGTATCATATTAGGTGATAATTGACAAATTCTTTGTTTCTCCCATTTTTTAAAAGACGTGATCGACTTACAGCAATTCCAGCCACCGGGAGTAAAAGTTTCTCTTTTTCGGTTTTCATGGCAAGAAGAAGAGCGACGGCGCATGCAATAACACCGATGAGGAGAATGGCGTGGATGATAACGGTGGTCCATGTTCCAATGCTAGAAAATTTAAAATAGCCAGAATGAGAGATGAGAAACTTACTTCCAGTTGAGGATCAGGAGAAGTGCAGCAATAATGACAACGATAATTAGGAAGGCGAGAATGCACTTGCATCCTTGCTGAAAATTTATGGACATCAAAACCATTTTTCATAATTCAAGACTCATAAATCTCTGTTTACTGGACTTCAAAAATACTTTATGATATATGACCCATTAATCTACAGTACTGGTCAATAAGATATACAACGTCGTTTTCCAGTAGATTTTCGTTCATGGGGTCTGGAGCTCGGCTATCAAGTTTCCAAGCACTCTGAGAATCTTGGAGGGTGTAAAACAGACCTAGATTAAAAACTTCGCATTCATAGAACTTCTGAAAATTCTTAGTTTTTCGGATAAATTCGCTGATTTCTGAAAGTTTCCCTTTTTTTGACAAGCTTTGTACTAAAAACTTTAAAAAAATGTTTATCGGCAAATAACTGAATAACTAGGGGTTGTGAAAAAATTCTGTAAATGGAAAGTGAACACACTAGATCTGTTTCACAAACTCCAAAGTTTTCAAAGTGACCGAAAACTTGAAAGCCAATTTCTGAACTCCTGCATGTTATTAAATGGGCTCAAAATCTATAGAAGAACGTGAGGTTGTATGTTTTATTGACCGGTACTGTAGGTTTCTCATTCTCCGTGACAAGATCTTATACTTTTTTTTCAAAATTGTAAATAGTTTGTTTATCTCAGAAAGTTCCAGAATCTCAAGGAATGGTCAGAAATTTGTTTTTGAACTGAATTAAAGTGGTGTTTCTGGATTTTTTTTTTCAAAGACCACGTCGCTTATTTTTTTTCTAACTCATCTTGTGGTTTTTTCGGATCTTTCAAACATCATAAGATGTTTTTCATTTCAATTATTTACCTTCACATGCATCTTGTTGCACAGACATTTGTATTTAGGATCGGTATGCCTGAACGGCTCATGGTCGAAAGTCTTCGCAATGTCCATATCTGAAATTCAGAATGTCGAATTTGTTCAGACAAATTATCTAGCAATTTAGCGGTAAATAACAACAAACAAATATCAATTAATGTTCTTTTTCATTTTTTACAGTACAAAAAACAATACCTCTTGGTAGTGGTCCACCATAGTGGTGAACATTAGGGTGAACATTAGTATGAATATGGGTGATTCTAGGAGGAGCATCAAATGGATCATGGCCTGGATAGTAATGATCTCCAGGGTATCGTTGCCGATCGTCGTAGTACATTTTTGCGGTTATTTTTCAAGAAACAAGAAGACAGTAATACTAACAAGTGATGGACAATGACAGAATGAGGAGTAGTCAATTTGAAAGGGCCCTCCCACTATTTTGTTTATTTCGGATCACTTTCTGTTGGGGTTGTCTTTTCTTGTTGGTCTCCTGTTTATTTTTCTCAAAAATACCATCAAGAGATCACTGAAAAACAAGAGGGTGCACGTCCCTAAATCAAGTTTTTTGTCTCTTTCTGCCTGACTGTTGAATTACCCTTTACTTGTGACTTTTGGCTGCCACGCGCATCCGACGGATCGTCGGTGAGTGGTAGAGGTCAGAGAAAAGAGAATGAAGAAAAGAAAAATTTGGAAGATGAGGAGGGAAAATGAAAAAAAAAATGGAAAGCGAAAATGAAATACCGAAAAACATTTGAACACGTGCGAAGAAAAGGGTATTGTGTCAGACAATAGGCGAGAACTGATAGGCGTCGGCGTCCTAAATCTGTACAATCATGTGGTCAACCGATGGAATTTCGAAGAATTTTTTCAATTGGAAGAGGTTAGAGGAAGTTAAAATTGGTGATTCATCGGACCGAATGTAAAGTGGTTCCTCACCGATCATAGAATGGCATCCATCAAACCAAACACCAATAAGATTTCGACAGAAGTAAAGGGGTTCCAGAAGACATAAAATGAAATCAGATGGTGAAAAGTAGGTAAAAAGTGCGATGACTAGTGGTAGAGGTAATCGAGGCTAGAAACTAATCTAAACGGTTTAAGGGTGGGGAGTCATGAAAAAAAATAATGTTCTCGAAACTTCTTTTAAACATGTCCCTTGAGGAGTTGAACTTGTGGGGGCAAGGTTTGAGGGTGCGGCGCCGCTACTCCAAAAAACCTAACTCCAAAAAACCTTCGAAAAAGCCCCTGTCCCCCCGCCTTTAATAAAATGATCACACTAAAAATACCAAAAAACTTTACTGAAGATTTGACTACCATCTAACCTGTATGGGCTTTGTAACTTTCAGCGTTGAGCCATTATTTTTCAGTTCCTGCTACAGATATAAAAAAATGTCAACTAATACATTTTTTAAATAATATCATGAGTTTTTTGTCAGATGACACATTTTTGATATCTTTTTCGGGAATCGAGATAAATAGTTTGACATTGTGAAGGCCCTTCCATTACAGGTTTTACGGTATGTGGTGCAAAATGACAAAGGTCGGTAGAATATAATTTCCAATATAGTGCTTATATTGAAATTCCTAGAAAAAATTTGACAACGGATAAAGAAAGGTATTTGCTAAATTTTTTCTAATTTTAAAAAATCGGTCGAATTTTCTTTTGTTGTTATTTTGTGATTCTAATTTAGTCTAGGTTGATGTAAACAGCTAGTTATCAGAACAACAACTTCAGAATTAGCAATATTTCAATATTCGACTTTCAAATAATTATATCTACTGTGAAACCTGGATTAGAATGTCTTTTACCATATTAAGGTACCTTCGGGAAGTCCGAAGTCTTCACTTTATTCAATGAAAGTAAACAAAATTGGATTGAAATCAAAGCCCTTTTGTTACAGGGGCCTTACAATTAGAGGGGTCGTCTATTTTATTAGTTTTTTTTCCAAAAATTTTCATTCAAAAGTTCTACGAGTTTTTAAACTTAAAGCAATACATTGAGAAGTTTTGTGAGAGAGCCCTCTCTATTGAATGACCCCTTCTGATACAGGTTCTACGGTATACGTACTACTAGCAGAGTATAAGGTTCTGAGAAACTTCCATTAAATTGTAGATGACCAACTCAAACTTTTAGAAGTTTTGAAATCAATGTTCCTGCTAAATCAAAAAACTAAATCAAAAATGTTTAGAAACAAGCCTTCCTTGGCTATGAGATCTACCAAAATTGAAAACAGCTCTGATGCCTTCACTTTCCTGATCAGAAGATGCAGTTTGTTTGTTACTGCCTTAACTAGAATGTTCAACTGATTTGGTACAAAATTTAAAACAGATAAGTTCTGCTGATTTGCCAACACTCTCAATTTGTTGTTCAACAACCTCGGCTTTGATTATGTGATTGAAACCGACTGATAAGATAAGATAGCGAGAATAAAAAGAAGATCTGAAGATCTGAAGTCATGACCTAAACCAAAATGTGACACCCAAGAAGAGTGAGATAGCTTCCGCAATATATCTGAACTGACGATACTGAATATACTCCACTAGCGTTTCCTACTTTCACATCATAAGTATAGTTTAGAGAGTGATAGATTCTAGACATTATAAATATCGGAAGAGAGAGATGGAAAAAAAGATGGCCCAGTCGGAGAACGTGGAGGCAATTTCACGCCTGATCCTCGAAAGATACTTTTGTAAGCTTCGATAAGCTTCTTCTTCCTCTATCATTTCTTCTCAATTTTTTTCTTTCATTTTTGCGTCTAGTACTTTCTTCCAAAGGTGAACAGAATAGAAGAGAATAGGGAAGACGGAAGATTGTTAAGATATGAGAAAAGGAATCTAATGAGGCTTGTGAAATGTGGTGTGAGGGGGATTCTAATGATTGTTGCGGGGGCGACGACGACAGGTGCGACACTACGAAGGAATTTTACGCTTTTCATATAGTAAAAAAAATTAAAAAAAAGGAACTTGAGTTGATTTGTCACCGGATCATTCACCGTGAGGAGGAAGGAAGAGAATTGAATGAAATCTAGAACATATTCTTATTCAGAATATCTTCAACAATGGGAATTGGGTAAGGAGAAAGTTCAGTACCGGTCGATAATATATCCAAAAACGCTTTCTTCAGTTGTTAGTTTTGACCATTTTCAGAAGTTTGAAGCACGGCTTTCAGTTGCCCGATCATTCAGAAAATTGTTAGAAGTTATGAAATATATATATATATCTAGATTGAAAAATTTGCAATTACAGAATTTTTTGAAAATCCTTAGTTTTTCAGCTATATACCGGTTTCTGAAGTGCACCTTTTTTCCTGTTTTTGTACTAAAAACGTGATGAAGGAAGGTGTCCTTCAAAAATGGCAAATATCTGAAATCTAGAAATTTTCAAAAAATTCTGTGAATGCAAAGTTTCAAATCTAGGTCTGTTTTACACACTCCAGAATTTTCGAAATGATCAAACACTTGACAGTCGAGCTCTAAACTCTTTACAATGGTGAAAATCAACTGAAAAACGCGTCGTTGGATATATTTTTGCCAGTACTGTATTTTTTTCATCCCCAAGCCCAGAAATGCGAGTTTTTTGGATTAGGATAGCATCTCAGAAAGACAGAACTTCTCAGAATGCCAAGAAAATCAAACTAAATCCAAAACAAAGGAACAGAACTTTCTCAAAAATTAATAACATTTTTCATTGCCCACATCAAGCTGTCCAATCAAATTCTCAAAAACTTTCAAACAAGAAAAATAAAAGAAAATTTTAAAATGAATTTTTTCTTCTCACATCACTCCACTTTTTGTATCCCTCTCTGTTCCTCCCGGCCGTTCAAACGAAAAAAAAAGACCCAAAATAATTGAGTTTCGGTGAAAAAAAAAGGAGAGAGGTGAAAGAGAAAATCGGCACAACACAACTAGTTGGCAGGGGGTATACACGGTTTCAGGTTCAACACAACATATCCCATACGGCAAAAATAATGGTATGAAATATAGGTGGTAATAAAAGTTTTGACACTGAAAAGTTCAATTGAGTGGATCTGGATCTCTATGATACACTTCAAAATTCTTTTCTGACTGTATGAGAAGAAGAACTAAAAAATGCCAATAATAAAACTTTTCCAACAATACATCTTGTCTGAAAAGAAGTTGACGTCTTGTGGACAATAGGATGGCGTTTTTTATTCAATTTCAGGACACAGTTTTCACCACACATGATGACATGATGGGTTGACGCCTAGGACGACAAAGATTCTCATGCTAGACAATAAAACAAAAAAAGCTGATGGTTCTTGGAACTGATACGTATAGTGAAACGTAATATTTAAATTATAATGTATAATTTTATGGAAAAAAATATATAATCGACTGATGAAAAAAAAGACACGAAAGTTTTTGAAATTAGCATATTGGTCACAAGTGGGCTGAATAAATTGAATATGACACTACAAAGACCTGAAAAAATGTCATTTCATGAATCCTAGTTTATCGAGTTGTGCTTATCGAAATATTAGCAAACTACACGTACTATTCTACTGAAAATTACAAAAACAAAAATCCCATTATATGGGAAACTAATCCGTTGGAACTAACACGAAAAACGACACAGACTGTCAAAAACATCTCCAAAAAATGTAAAGTGTATTCCCGTTGTCACCTGCACCTAGAAAAAAAAGAAGTGAAAGAAAAGCGGACCCGGGTGGTGTGCGTAGTTTTCAGTGTCACCACCCTCCCCCCGTGTTTCTTGTACTACGCCAAAAAATGTGTTTGACATTGAAAAAAGATCAAGCGCGCCGATATATCCGCATTTTCTTGCCCCTGCTTGGTGTGTAGACCCTGGGGGAGATGGAGGGGTAACATCGTATGTCTCAGTTAACAACATCTGAATTGATTATGCAAAAAAATTTGTCGGATCGAGGGGAGAGGAATAGATAAAGCAAATTCTTCAGGCAGATAATTTTTGTTTTCTTGAAATATAGAATTCCACAATGTTCAAAAAAAGAATGCATGTTTCTTTCTGTGTTAGAGAATTCTGATAAGTCAATATCTGCGCTAAAAATTATACAAAGTTCAGAGGACACTTGAAAAATTACAGCCCGCCCGGGTAAGCTCAGGGTTTTCAAATTTAAAAAAAGTTCCAAAATTTTAGAATATTGAAAATGAATATTTTTGAAGGCACTATGTTTTTTGCAAACTTTTCATCAGCCGAATTTTTTGAATTTTACTTTAAAAGAATTCATGAAAGTTTGAAATTGAGAAATACAGTACCTTATACAAAAATGTATTAACTTCGCGTCAATTTTAGGTTTTACCATTTTTGAGGGTCTGGAGCTCGGCTCTCAAGTTTCCGATCACTTTGGAAATCTAATTGGGTGTAAAACAGTCTTGAATTGCAAATTTTGCATTCACAGAATTTTCGGAGAATTCCTAATGTTTTTGGTGTTTGCCGATTTCGGAATAGCACACGTTTTTTTTTCATGTTTACATTAAAACACGGACCAAGGGGGGTATCCTTCAGAAACCAGCAAATAGCTGAAAAATTAAGAGTTTTCACAAAAGTCTACAAATGCAAAGTGTCCAATCTAGATCTGTTTTACATCCCTTCAAAATCTCAAAGTGATCGGAAGCTTGACAGCCAAGCTTCAGACTCTTGAAAATTGTCAGAATAGTCGGAAATCAACCGAAAAATACGTTTTTTAACTTGTGGCTTGTGCTGTCACGGAGCAACTTTTGTCCGGTTCAAAACACAATTCTAATCGAATTTCAATTTTTTAATCTCTTAAAAACCAAAAAAAAAATATTGAAGCAAATGAAGGCGTATACCACATTTTTGCCATATATAGTGGAAACAAATGTTACTAATTAGCAAATAATCAGCGATAGTCTAAAAAACTCCATAAAAAATGCAGGAAGAAAAGACTTCTCGATATTTGATTTCTTGTGTTACCACCATACCAATATGGTAGACAAAGATTGAACAAGAACTTGAATATTGCCATTCAAAAAAAGCGTTTTGCCTTTTCACCCCCTTTGCTTGTAGTACAACTTGAGTACTCAAAGCGGAAGGAAAAACGTAAATTGGGCATCAAAAAAATCGGGAGGTCGTTTTTCGGTTTATGTGTCTTTTTCAGGCCCATTTCTGATTCCTTTTCTGTTTCGTCTGAATTGTCTTTTACCCCCCCGCGAAACAATTCTTCTAACCGTTTTACCCATTCTTCTTGTAGTCAACGAACATAAAAGAAAGGGCAGACAAGAAGACAAAAAAAAGAGGTGAGAGGTAAATTTTTGTACACACTCCTACTATCTACTAATACTGTTTTCCAGTGGGCCATGTCGGGTGGCATTTATTTTACAAACCATTATTGGACTATGTTCAGCTTTAGGTTCTAAACGTGTTTCCAACTGTCATTGCAGCAGCAGCAGCCTGCCTGTCACTGTCGCGCATACATATCTAAACCGTTTTATGTCTCTCCGTTTCTTTTTTTTCTTTTGTACCTTCTGTAACATCAGGTGAAATGAATGAATTTTTATTGTTTGAGGAGGAAACAGTGAAGGGACGATTCTTCTAAAAATTCGTAAATGAAAGAGACACCGAGAACCGATATTCGGTTTACGCCCCATATTTCGAAAAGATGCTCAATAATCATCATGGAATTTGTTGGAATTAGAAATTTTGCTGAACAATCTTGCTGAAAACAATGGTTGCGGAAAGCACTTTTTGTGGATGAGTCTATAACTCGGGGTAGTTTTACAGATATCATTCAAAAATTTAGTATTCTGAAATTCGAAAATTTAACTTTTTCAACGGGACCAGGAGTATGAAAACATTTGATTCGAGATATTATTAAACACGAAAAAGTAATGTTCTAGCAGAAGCAGGAAAAAAGAGACAATTGGAATAAAGAGCATACTGATTTTGTAAACTTTTTAAAAAGTCGATACATACATTGGCTGAACATGAACGAGAGTTCATATTGAAGCTTGTAAAGAAAAATACTGAAGAAAATATTAATTTTATCTCTTAAAAATATCAATTAGACTCAGACACGTTCCAAATTATTCTGGGAATGTTCAAGCCCTCCACTACCAGACTGTTTATTTGGAATGGGTTCCAAATCATAATGTTCTTACATCAATGCTTTATAAAAGAAAACATTTGTGAATTCTTCCGGTTAACACTATCCTTCTTATTTCATTTTTCAGGTCAATCCGCTTTCATGGCACGTGGTTCCACTACACTTGAACAAAAACTGTCGTCACCAGTTGACTTTCTGTTTGACAATACAAATTTTTGACAATACAATTTTTGACAAAACTGTTTGACAATACAAAAGCAAACATCGTCTGAGTTGACTTCAGAAGATCTTTACTTCTGTTATTTTAGCAACACAAAATACTCTAAATTCTGAAATGTCAATAATGATGACTAAAAACTGCCAAAAATCGTGAAAATGCTGTCAATGCTTCATTTTCGCAATTCAACTGTAAATTTAAGGCTTGTCATTTACTCGGCTGTCGGCTTACAACTTCTGGCCGGAAGTTGAGGGGGTTCGGCTTTTGGACCGATCTTGGTCAGCTTTTGGTCAGAAGCTGCCCACCGCAGCAGACAATGATCGGATTTTGGCCGGAATTTGAAGGCGCTGCGTGTTATGCGGCGCGTGCTTCACTTATTTCAAATTTGTTTTCTAAACTATTTTTCTTGCTGTTTCCCTAAAAACTTTGTTTTGAAGTTGCATCCTTCCAATTTTTGGAGAATTTTTTTCAGACAAGTACTTCGAGGCAATAGCAGACGATGTTCTCGAAAAAAAGAGTACGAAACTTATCAGGTAATTCATTCTTTGAACTCTTGTCATAATTTAAATTTTTCAGATAAATAAAATTCAAGTCAACATTTTTAATGTCAAGTGCTTAGGAGATATCGCAACTAGAAGGTAATTTTTGTTGAAAAAACTGTATTTTTGGAAGTATTGTTTCCAGGAATCAAAGAAATGCTAGAAAAGGATGCTAGAAAATTCGAAGAAAGACAAGAAAGTTAATCAGGTAAATTCCTATTTTCTGAATCAATATCTAATTTTATTCACATTTCAGACAGAGCCTCTTCTCTCATATTCGTCATGAGTCACAGCGACATCTTCAAAATTTAACAATCTAAATCATGATTTTCTTATTTTTCTGTATTTTTCCCCTAATTTTGTTCATTTTCATGTATAATTATTTTTTTTAATAAATAAAATTCTACATAATGCGCTGTTTCTTTATAAAAACATCAATAAACGCGAACCGAACCGGCCCCTGCTGTTAGAAGGCCGGAAGTTGGCCGGTAGTTTGTCGGATCTTGGTCGGCTTCCCACAATGTCTTTGCCGGAATCTGACCAAGTTCCGTCCTGAAGCCGACCAGCCTCCGGCCAGAAGTTGCCGGCGACGCCCGAGTAAATACACATTTCTGATGCACAGATTGAAAAAAACAAACATTTTTAAAAATTAGAAATTTTATGCAAGAAAATTAACCTAATGCAAGGAAACAGGGGGTTCGGTGAAGATAATCAGCAAAATTTTTGCCTAGAACATGATACTTCTATCAGAAATTTTGGGAGAAACCGTACAGTATGTACTCAGTGAATGGCTCGTTTGTTTTTGCTGGGAGGGAGAAAAGTGAGAGTTTTCACAACTACTTATTACAGGGAGGTTTTGAACAATATTTACAAGGGTGCACGACAGTGTTAGACTTTTCGCTTTTTGTCACTTTCTCGGAAGCAATCTAAAAGAAAATTGATGATGACTCCATAGGATGCACTATCACGTGTTGGTTTGCACAGATTCAGATGCACATCAGCGATATGGTAGACCGCTCCTTGCTCGAAAACTGCAGACTTGTTGGGTACGACGATGCTCTTGGCGTTAGCTGTAAAAACAACGAATTTTCCATGAAATCAATATCAGGGTTGTGCGGAATATAACTTTTCGAAATTACGAAATCTTTGGATATCCCGAATTGAACAAAATCGATAACCTGGAACGTAGGATATTCTTAATTTTCAGAAAATCAGAATTTCGAAATGTAATATTTTGGCGGAAATTTCATTCCGAAAAATCTCTGAATTTTTTGAATTTCTGAAATTTTATCACTTCCAATCTGCCGCTGAAAAATATGCTGACAATATTTCATTCCTAGGTTGTACACATTAATGAAAAAAAAATTACCAATAATATTTGACTCCAGCGTCTCCACCATGCTCACAATTACTGGAATTTCTTTGCTAACTGCTGAGAAGTCTTCGTTGAGCTGAAGAAAATGTTTAAATAAACATTTCAAAAACGAGCTATACCTTCTTATTCTTTACATTACTCTCACTGAGCATCACCACATCTTCAGTTGGTTGGAACACTGAATATCCCCAATTGGCAACAGGACTTCCTTTGTGTGGGGTGGCAATGAATAAAACTCCAATTGTGCTTTTTCGCAGATCCGGTGAGTCAATAAGTAACTTCTTGGCCAGCAAACCTCCCATTGAGTGACAGATGAATAAAACGGGTCGCTTCCCAATTCCAGCTATTTCCAGCTGGTCTTTGAACCTTTCTGATCTACTCTGGAAGAGAAAAAAGTATAAGAGAGCAGAAATATATTTAAAATTCACCTGAAGGCTCTGTTGTGTGCCTGTGAAATGAAAAATATAGGATGGATACTCGAGCCCTATTATTCGAAATGGTCTCTTGATATCTAGAGGGAGCCAGTCTTTTGGCCAGCATGAGGATAAGAGGTTCTCGTCAGAGTCTTTCTGTCGCCATGTGTAAGCCACACTTCCTCGGAGTCCATGGATCAAGACAATGTCAAACTGAAAATAAAGGTAGAGTATCGGTCAATAAGATATACAACGCCATGTTTTTCAGTTGATTTTCAGCAATTTTGACCATTTTCAGAGATCTGGAGCTCAGCTTTCAAGTTTCCAATCAATTTGAAAACTTTGGAGGATGCCAAACATACCTAGATTGAAAACTGTGCATTCACGGAATTTTCTTGGAATTTTCAGTTTTCAGCAGCTGGAGAACTAAAAATTAAAAAAAAATTATGTTAAAGGAGGCGAGACAGCAAAAATTTCGGGGGACAGTTCGAGGGACAAAATCGCGCCGCGCTTATGTAGACCATCGGTCGTCCGGCGCTGTACCCCTGAGCTGCCTGTCATGAGTTCAACTCCTCATGGGGGTTCTCTATGCAGAATATCAGGAAAACTTTTTTTTGGTATCTGGCCTCATTTAATGCAAATTTTTCTATCCAGGTCTGTTTAACACTCTCCAAATTGTTCAACGTAATTGGTAACTTAACAGCCAAGCTCCAGACTCCTGAATATGATCACAATAGCCGAAAATCAACTGATAGACATGTTGAAATCTAATTTCAACGATTTTTAGCTTTTTCCGATTTCTATGATATCATTTTTCACCCTTCTTTGACTCAACGTTCATTCTTAATGACAACAAATCTCGCACTTTCTGTGTCGTCCTAACATCACAAAGCTAAGATCACATTTTGCTCGACACTATGTGTAACCCCACGTGACGACACTGCAGACTAACAGTGTAATATCTCTGTTTTTGATGAATGAGTCCTCTGGCACGTCATATCTGTGAAACAAAAGAAAAAAAATTACCTCTGGCTCCTCATCCGGTAAATGCATCTCATAGACATCTGATGAAAGTCGGTAGTTGATGGATTTCAGAGAGCTCAGCGCGTTCTGGCATACCTGAGAAGGTTTGTGTTATACTTGTCGGCATGACGAATTTTCAATTATGCCGGCTCATAACTCGCTTCAGAATTGAAATTGTGGGCAAAACAAAACACTGGGTCATAGAGCACAGCAAGTTCTACAACCTCCAATAAAATGAAATCAGCATTTGAAGCAGTAACCGGGAGTGAGCCGGCATTTATTAGCTTGGTCGGGTAAACATTGCCGGTCCGGTTAAAAAATTGTTAATACCGCTTTTGGAGCTGGTCGATTCTCATTGGAGGTTGTAGAGCTTCCAAAGGTTCATTATCTGGCATGCTGTTTTGCTCACATTCTGTATTTTTATGAGAATTATCAGCCGGCCCGTCGCCAAGTATGGTGTACGTGAATTTTTCACACTACATGTAGCGCATTGATAAATCAAAAAACACTCACTTTATGCGATAACAATCGCTCCATCAAACTTCTCCCGTTCATCACCATTGTGCTTATCAGTGGTAGCCACTCCGAATCAAGCATTGACTTTGCGTACTTTTCATCGGCACCGACGATATTTGAAAGGATTTTTATCGCGAGAACCGCGATGTCCACATTTGATTGGCAGAATTCTGCGTAGACGTTAAACAAGAATGGAATGACATCGACATCGATAGCCGAGACGTCGAAGGATTTCTGGAAAACGTGAATTTGTAGAAGTTTAGTGAAGATTGTGTTCTGCAATTAACAACCAACAGAAATTCCATCAAAGTACATGGTCTTCCAACCGGTTTTTGACCACGAGAGATAGCCAAAAATCTCTACTTGTAGTTTAGACTTTAAAAAAAATTAAAATCTCACCTCTGTGGTTAAGAACAGCAACTGTAGCATCCTTCGTAACCGTTCAATTTGGCTTGGAAGCCTCACCAACCACTCGTCGGAACAAGAAAGATCTTCTTCTGGACATGCCACTCGGTTAATCCATTCTATACTGCTGTTCCATTTGTCACCAAGGTTAAACTGAATGACAACTCAATATTTCTCGGAAAATTCAAAGCCTTACCTTGCTCAATGCCTCTGTGACATCAATTTTCTGATCTACACACGACTTTATCGGTATTTTCATGCATAATTCTGATCCGGATCTAGCTAGGAGAGCAATGGCAGCTGGGTTCAAGGTCTTCAGAAACTCCTTGCCTATAAAATGCAAAAATCAATAGTCTGTACACATAATGGTCCGTGCGCACTCACTCTCCGTGTGTTGAATGTATCGAAGGGCTTCTGAGGTGTTTGCATTGACATTGAGTAATTTAACAGCGTCTTCTACCGAGAGAATCTTATTTCTGTCATTAGAATCTGGCCAGAAGGATTTGTAAACTCCATATAGTGCTCTGTTAATTCCATTTGCCTTGTTAAAACAGTTTTACAAACACTTACGATATGGTCACAGATGGGATGATGTATCGGGCCATTTGTTCGGCATTTGAAATAATAGAATTGAAGAAATTTTCCTGAAAACGCAACGATATCAAATGAATACGGTCAAAGAAGAAAAGACAAAGTGAAAACGAATGCTGTGGGAGAGAAAACAAAAGATAACCCGCGAGTGTAGAGTGCAAACCAATGTCACGCCACCCTCGTGGAGAAGAGAGAAAAGGAGGGGGGCCGTCATTTGTCGGATTCTAGTCCACGGCCAGCCGCGTGCGCGCACACGTTGTTTGCTTGGATATGTACAACAGATTGTGGAGAGTAGAATGAATAGAGAAGGAATAAATGAAATACTGAAATATTTGAAATTTAAAAAAACTCGAGGCTTTTCTCACATGTAGCCACGAGTTGGAAAATAGAAAACAGACAACAAAAAACAGAAAGCACAATAACACACACCGAAATGATGTTTCATGTCTTTCTAGAAGGTTTTCTTCGTCAGTTGAAGTTTGTTTAAACTGGGAATAATCGGGAATTGAGAACTTTTAAAGAAAAATCAAGAAACAAAAATTGACATCCACTTGTCACTTTTCGGTGCGGGTGCAGAAGTAGATAAGAAGACTACAATGCAAGTTTCTCATGCGGAGAGATGACCGAGCGGTCTAAGGCGCTGGTTTAAGGCACAAGTCTCTTCGAGGGCGTGGGTTCGAATCCCGCTCTCTTCAGTTAATTTTTTTTGAATTTTAAATGTTTCTTATCATGTTATACGTCCACACAACTTTTTTTTTCAAAAATTCACTTGGAAAACAGAAATTTCCCATTGCTTTATTTGAGAAATTTCCAATTTAAAGATTGTGATTATTTATGAGAATCGGAAGAAAAACTGATAATCCTGAAGTGAAACATACGACACACATAACAAGTCTGTTTTCGAAAATGCAATTATCGATAAGTTTCCATACCGTAGAATCTGTAATAGGAGGGTCTTTGCACTGTCAAATTCGAGCTCATTCATCTCGGTTCCTATCAAAAACACCAAAAATGTGCCAATTGATAAATTGCTTCTGATATTATGATAAACAATACATCAGTTAGACATACTTGTAATCCGGGCCTTTGCCGGGCCTTGGCGGGCCCTGCCATAATTTCTTTCAGAATCAACATTTTCGAACCAACTAAATTAGATATGATAGAGCTCCACGAGTACTACAAAAAGGTATTATTTGGAATACTGTATCTTATCTATTAACAAAGTTACAGATCATAAAGTGGCTTTTCTCGCAGGGCCCGGCAGGCCCGGGCCGGGCCTGCTTTTTTTGTTCCTTTTGCTCTGT